AAAGTTTATAACAGTTTTGTGAAATTACATTATTATTGTAGGTAAATTATATTACATGTATTAATACACATATTAGACACTTTTGTTGGTATTAGATATGTGTATAAATAATATATCTGTATTTATATGAAAAATATAGGTATATTAATTTTGAATAAATGATTACCTTATCCACGTGACAATTTCAATTAATTTATTTTTAGGTATGTCTTGTGGGGAAGTTAGTTGTCTGCCATATAGTGCACCTACGCACACCATTTAGCTTGAACGTCATTATTTTACTAACTTCTACCTAAGAATCCACCTTTGATGAGCCTCTCAGGTTCATCCAATTTGATTGAGGGATATGGCACTGCACGTACCTTGTTGTCCAAATAGTACTGAATTAACCATTAAAAAGGCACTTCTCCTTGATCCGAAAGAACGCTGTTGAGCCTTAAAGGTATTTGGGATAATAATTATCACGCTTTAACCACTGAAGAAAATGGAGATGAATTCCTATGCACTTGACTGGCAACAACATAAAGAAAAGAGTCTATATAGTTGTTGTGCCCACCCTCTTCTAGGCTTCACTTGAATATGGCCAAAAATGTATTTTATGAGAAAATGGAGTGCTTTTCGAATGGTTCTACATAATCACCATTCACCCCCTCCCCCCTCCCCCAAAAAAGCCAACTATATAGCCGACATTATGAGTGGACCTGTATTGGAAAACATGTTTTGGCATGATCGCTTGAGACATCCATGAACTATGATGATGTAACGTATCCTCGATGTTACACATGGTATTCGCTTACCCAAAGTAAGCACATTATTCTTGGCAATGGTCACTACAAAGCTTATTCTTTATGTAAGTTTATTACTCACCCATTTTTCGACAGAGTTCAAAAGGGAGCCTCAAACCTTTCTTTAAAGGATTCAAATGGACAGTTATGGACTTATCCAACCACCATGTGGACTATATAAATATTTTATGGTGTTGATTGATGCATCGAAATAATGTCACGAGTAAATTGTAGCTATGGTCCCTTAACTTTAACTCAATTGGAGCAATGGTCCCTCAACTAAAAATCCATTATCATTGGTCCCTCAACTCATCAAAATGTGCAGCTATGGTCCCTCAACTAAAAATCCATTACCATTGGTCCCTCAACTTTAATTCAACTAGAGAAATGGTTCCTTAACTTTAACCCAATTGTAGCAATGGTCCTTCCAACATAACTCGTTTTGACAATATTTTTGACGTAGTTGACGAAAATGACCATAATTACACACTTTGATGAGTTGGGGGACCCTAATTATGTAAATAGTTATTCCAACATAACTTATTTTGACAAAATTTTGACGAAATTGATGAAAAATGACTATAACTACACATTTTGATAAATTGAGGGACCAATGGTAATGGATTTTTAATTAAGCGACCATTGCTCCAATTTGATTAAAGTTGAGGGACCATTGCTCCAATTTGATTAAAGTTGAGAGACCATTGCTACAGTTTACCTATCCACACACACACTGCCGCCTTTGTGCAACTCCTGCCATAAATTATTAAGCTCATGGTCACCTTCCTGGTTATTCGATTAAGTTGATTCGACTAGATAATGTCAAATATTTTAAGTTAGAAGTGTTCATTAAGCCCCTTCAATTAATCGCTTGGACTTGTTCATGCATACTTAGCTTCCGAAATCTACTTGGAGCTATGCAATTTTGCAAGTAGCCATGTTCAGTTGCCTGAGACTCGCTGCCACCAAGCTTATTCACCATCACAGTTGGTTACTGTATATGAGCCTGACGTCTCACACTAATGAGTATTTGGGTGCGTAATTTATGTGTCAATAATGCCGCCACTGCGTACCAAAATGGGTCTTCAGAGAAGGATATGTGAATATATGTCAATTATGATTCTTCTTCAATCATTCGCTACTTAAAGCCCTTGACATGCAATCTCTTTACCATACATTTTGTGAATTGTCACTTTGATGAGACAGTCTTCCTATTGCTAGAAGGAGATAAGAACATTAACATTCTTGAAGAACCTGTGAATTGTAGTGGACTAACCCATTATGTCATATTTATCCCCGCACTGCCCAGTCTGAAACTGACATGCAAAGAATCTTAGATCTTTAGAGCATTTCTCAAAGCATGCCTAATGACTTTAATGATCTAGCCAAAGTGACAAGATCATATATACCTGCTCTAAACGTGCCTACAAAGATAGATATACCAAACATATGTCGAAACATCACCCCTAAAGGATGAGCCACCCACGAAGGACGTTGGATGCACTTGTTGCACAGTCCGCTACACCGGCAGTCAACTAATCCTCTGCTATCAACTTGAAGCATGCATGGCATACCAGTTGGTTCAAAGGCTTTGCAACCTTGGAAAAGGAATTCGACACAAACAAGTGTACCTAGTGTGAATCTGATGGATCGTCTACTTAACCATTTCAATGTATAAGGTTATTCTAGATTACAGAAGTGTCCTGGAACAAGCGTATCTAGCTCCTAAGAATCGTGAGATTTTGTTCTACTATGCAAGTCTGGATGAGGTTTGGAATTAAACTGTGAAGATAGTTGACGATGCCATCGCCTACACATTAGCTACTTATATTATGCTGACCGATAAGATTGGACTACATTTGTTAGTGAGCGTTAACGTAGAACAAATTGGTCAAACTGGAAACAAGCAATCTAGGTTGAATTCGATTTACTTGTGAAACACAAGGTGTTAGGGCCTGTAATTCCAACCATCACATGTGAAGCTAGTTGGCTACAAGTAGGGTTTCGTAAGGAACAAATGGGTTTGCGCATGGAAACATAATGAGAAAAATGAAATAATACGGTAGAAAGCACACCTTATAGCGCAAGGCTTTTTTCTACACCCTAGATTAATTATGAAGAGACATATTCCCTTAATGGACATCATAACTTTTTGCTACCTTATTAATTTTGTTGATGCATAAAACCAAAGGGGTCTTGGAACAACGTAAATCGGACCGTGAATCTGCAAGAAAGTAAAGAACACAAGATGTATCGTGGTTCACCCCAATGTTTGGGCTACGTCTACACTGATGTTGATTGTATTTCTCCATATGAATGTATGGATTACAAGTGTGAGGGGGAGTCTCCTAGAGAAAGAGAGAGTTTCTCTGTGAGCTTTGTGGCTTGTATGTTTTTGGGGTATCCCCTGATTTGAGATCTGACTCTCCTTTATGAGAGGGAGGAGTCCCCTTTTATAGAATAAGGGGCTCCTCCTTTTACATAATGATGAGCTGGGTAATGAGGCCCAATGCGTTAAAGTCTGAGGCCCAATATATGTGGTACCAACAGTAGTCCCCCAAGTTTTCAGTCAAGAGTCTTTTGGCTGGAAACTTGAAATTCAGTCCATGTGTAGGTCGAAGTAACTAGATGTCGTCTAGAACTGAATACTCGATATGAGGCGGTGCTCAATGTGAAATAATGCTCAACTAGAAGTAGCACTTGTTGTGAGGTTGCTCGGCTTGTGGCTTATGTTGCCTTGGTTGGCTCGGCTTATGGTGTTGAAGGTGAGGGAGTCCCTTTTATAGAATAAGGGTTCGTTCCTCAATACGTAAACGATGGGCTAGAGTGATGCTCACGGCGAGGCGGTTGCTCAGTAGGCAGCGATGCTCTCTAATGATGGTGAGGGAGTCCCTTTTATAGATAAGGGCTCGCTCCTCAATACATAAGTGATGGGTTAGGAGTGATGCTCGCGGCGAGGCAGTTGCTCAGCTGGCGGCGATGCTCTCTAATGAAGGTGAGGGAGTCCATTTTATAGAATAAGGGCTCGCTCCTCAATACATGAATAATGGGTGCTCTCTAATGAAAGTGAGGGAGTCCCTTTTATAAAATAAGGGCTCGCTCCTCAATAAATGAATAATGGGTGCTCTCTTAAGTATTTTTCATGAGGCCCAGGTAGGAAAGCCCAATATATGGTACATAATGTAGTCCCCCAAGTCTTCAGTCAATAGAGGCTGTTGGCTGGAAACTTCAAATTCAATCCATGTATGGGCTAAAGTGGCGGTTGTTCGGTGGCGGTCTTTGTATACCATGCACTGAAGCTTTGTAGGTGAAGTTTTTAAAGTGAAACTTTGAAGCTGGAGCTCTGTAAATGAAGCTTTTGAAGCTGATTGACATGAGTGATGCTCATGTATGTTTATGTTGATTGACATAAGTGATACTCATGGATATTGACTTGAGTGATGCTCATGAATGTTGATATGAGTGATGCTCATGAATGTTGACATGAATGATGCTCATGAATGTTGACATGAGTGCATGAATGTTTATTTATGATTGACATGAATGATGCTCATGTATAATTTTGGAGTACTAAACGTACTTTTGATCACCTAGTTGGTGATAATAGCGGCAGGCTGCCGAATAATTTTGGAGTACTAGAGGTACTTTTGATCACCTAGTGGGTGATAATAGCGGCAGGCTGCCGAATAATTTTGGAGTACTGGATGTACTTTTGATCACCTGGTTAGTGATAATAGCGGCAGGCTGCTGAATAATTTTGGAGTACTGGACATACTTTTGATCACCTGGTGGGTGATAATAGCGGCAGGTTGCAGGCTGCTGAATAATTTTGGAGTACTGGATGTACTTTTGATCACCTGGTTGGTGATAATAGCGGCAGGTTGCCGAATAATTTTGGAGTACTGGATGTACTTTTGATAACTTGGTTTGTGATAATAGCGGCAAGCTGCCAAATAATTTGGGAGTACTAGGTGTACTTTTTTTTTTTCATGCTGCCTTCTTTCTTTATTTATGATTACCCTCTGGTGGGGTTATACAGATGTCTCCAAAAGATAAGAAAAATAAATCACATCATTAAAAAAAATTAAACAAATAAAGTAGTCGTTGGGCGACTTCACTCTCCTTCATGATGAAATTTCATCTTTTTCAGCATGTTGGTGGGCATCTTCTTATCTTTAATCATGTTATCCCGTGGGATAGTGGAATAATGGAGCATCACTCAGTTTGTTCTTGCTTGTTCCACATATCTGAGTGTTTTTTACAAAACCCAGCCACTATAGCTCCCTTATTCCTTCATTCCTTGTACTCAATACAAAGATCCTCGTTCAAACCACAACTCACATGAAATTCTAGAGGGCACTTAAGCTCGGAGCACTGAATAGCACACCCCTTTGAACTCTCACAAACATAGCATCTCTCATTTCACCGCCTTTTCGGAACCTTGGAGCAATCAATCCCCTCCCGGCCTTCAGGGTCCTTGAAGAACACTTCCGAGACATAAAACGCACACACAATGTGTGCCCACCTCCCTTCTCCGGTGGGCTTCATTGCCCCTTCTTTAACAAGACATAAGCAGCAAGAACAGGACTCATTGGATTGGGAATGCACAGTAGAAAATGCGCATTGGGCGCAGTACCAATCACCTTCCGGAATACCCTTTACGAGTGGATTGCCATAGCAGGAGGCATGAACCATCAGATTACACCCATCACAGAAGACAATTGGATCTGATGGATCTCCATCTGTGCTCTGACAAACAAAACAAACAATCCCATCATCAGCATCATCTTCTTCTTCTTTATTGCACTCTCCATCCCCTGCGATTTCTTGGCTTTTCTCCTCTTGGGTATTTTCAATATCTTCATTGCAACCATTTTCAGCTTCACCATTCTCTTCTTCCAATTTCTCCACTGCCTCTTCTTCCAGCTCCCACCCAAAAGGCGGCTTATACTCGACATTAAGGTCCAATGTCGAAAGTGGCTCTAAAGTGAACAAATTGGGCTGAAACGCCCAAACCCTTTTCTTGGCAGGTAGGGAATAGGTGGATCCGGCAACAGCAGAGGCGGTGGGGTCAAGGAGAACGAGTTGGTTTCTCGGCGTCTTTCGCTTCTTTGCTGGAAGGCGCGACGGGGGCAAAAGACCATATTTCTGCTACATGAGTCTGAATCTCTTGAAATAAGGCAGGCCATGAAATCTCTGATCCATTTATGGGTCTGGTTTTTTGCCAGAGAAAATTGATTTGGTGGGGGGGACTAATTGAGAGAGTTTGAGATACGTTTTGAGGTTTTCTGGGTTCTTGGGTTTCTGCAGTTTCACAGTGGTGAGATGAAAAAATGAAAGAGAACTAACATAGCTTTTCGTGTCGATTCCCACAGACGGCACCAAATGTTGATGCACAAAACCAGAAGGGTCTTGGAACAACGTAAATCCGACTGTGAATCTGCAAGAAAGTAAAGAACACAAGATGTATCGTGGTTCACCCCAATGTTTGGGCTACGTCCACACTGATGTTGATTGTATTTCTCCGTATGAATGTATGGATTACAAGTGTGAGGGGGAGTCCCCTAGAGAAAGAGAGAGTTTCTCTGTAAGCTTTTTGGCTTGTATGTTTTGGGGGTATCCCCTGATCTGAGGTCTGACTCTCCTTTGTGAGGGGGGAGGAGTCCCCTTTTATAGAATAAGGGGCTCCTCCTTTTACATAATAATGGGCTGGGTAATAAGGCCCAATGCGTCAAAGTCTGAGACCCAATATATGTGGTACCAACAAATTTAGTAGTTGCCAATAAAATAGTATGAAACTCATGGACATGGTAACCGAGTATCTCTATGGGATCTTAATACGGAAATCTACATGAAAGTTCTTAAAGGACGGAACACCCTCTCGATTAGATTGAGGCGTTCACTCTACGGATTGAAATAATCTGAACTGTTTGAGTGAGTATTTGGTTAGTCAAGGATATATGAACACGAACTAGTCTATGTGCGTTCATTAAGAAGTGACATTCTAGATTTTTGATCATTGAAGTCTTTGACGACAACATGAAACTCATTAGAACTCTTAAAGAGCTTAAGAAAACTGTCATGTGCCTAAATTCAGAATTTGAGATGAAATATCTTCATAAAACTTGATTTGTCTAGGCATGGAAATCGTATTGTTCGGATGGTTCTGGAACATTAGTCAAATTATACATAGAAGATGTTATGCTAGTTTAACAAGGTTAAAGTGAAGCCTTTAAGTACTTATATGGTCGTTCGGACGGTAGATTCAAAAAAGTACTAAAGACGACGAGGAAGAGGTTTTGGAGCCTGAAGTTCCATACCATAGTGCATTGTTCATAACTTAGTTTACTAGACCGGACATCTTCTACGCTGTTAATATTTTGGCAAGATATAGCAATGAGCCTACACGCAGACACTGGAATGTTAAAGACATCATTCGTTACCTTAAGAGTACCTTGGATTTGGGTTTGTTCTACCCCCTATAATTCTTCGAGATGAGCCCTTAGTCTTCAGGTTGATTTTCGCCTTGTTGGTTGTGCTGACTTGAGTTCCATTAGAGACACCACAATATCTTAGATGTCAATCAAGCAGATCTTAGCTGCATCTTCTTTGAACCATGCTGAGATTTTTGCCATGCATAAAGCTACTTGTGAATGCTTCTAGTTAAGAGTAGTTGCAGAACATATTCTAAACACCTGCGTACATTCTTATGCCGTTAACATCCCTACAATGATTTATGAAGATATCGCATCATGTATTGACCAGATTAAGAAAGGATGCATCTAAGTAGACAACACCAAGCACATTGCGTTGAAATTCTTCTATTCACATCAACAACAAAAGGAAGATGCAGCTAAGATCTGCTTGATTGACATCTAAGATAATTACACACTAGATCTTTGTTAAATTATTTTGGCATATTAATTGTTATTGATGATATTTTTGTCACTCTAGTCATTGTTTTAACAAAGATTTTTTACAAAATAACTAAAATGATTGATGATGGACAAATTTAAACTCAATAATTACTTTTATTAATTTCAAATTTCAAAGACCAAATTGAAAAATTATATAAATCATCTTTGCTCTGACTTAATTTGCTCGACACTATTCTCCTTCATTTCTGAATTTCTCATCAAACAATTTTGTCCACCCTTGATTTTATGTTGTGAATGACATGTATCATTTGTCCAGTATTGCAGCATACCTTTTATTTTAATCAACTATATATATGCCGACGTACATATCAAGGCCAGCTCGTGGATGTATATTATATAATTGGACTATAATAACTTTAGCTAACAAAAAAAATAAAAATGAAAAGTTGATTAATCTAAAAAAGATACCAGTTGGTAGCTTTGTTATAACAGTTCATTTTTTTGGGTCAGAAAGATTTATAGAGGCATTTCAATCTCACATGACCATCATCGTGTGATTCACCAGGGCTAAGAACGGAATCCAGAATATACCGTATGGAATACGAGTTTAGAATTCGTTTCCAACCACTGAGGTCATCCATAGTGGTTAAAAGTTGATTATCTAGGTATAGCTTAAGCTGTTATCAACGCGAATTAAAAAAAAATGAATCAGACGTTAGGGTCGATGCATGTTGCGTAGCCATATTGTTAATTAAGGGTTTAAAATCAATCGGGTTAGCTCTCAGATGATCAGATCCAACTTGCTGGAGTTACACCTCAGAGTATAGGAAGTTGAGAGCATGGCCATCTTTGAAATTTTGAGAGTTCCGTTCAAAGACTGTAAATTGGGTCAGAGAGAGAATGTGAGAGATGTGTTGAATAGAAGGAACAAGTTCGAGAGACTGGCTAAATTTAAATTAAAAGAAATGGGTTATGACAATTTAGTCTTGTATATCTAATATTGGGTATTTTGATATAGGCGCCTTGTTTTTAATTTTTTAGACTAAACACACACTCCTTTGAAAATTTGATCAAACATTTTCCTAAAATTTTGGTTATTAATTTCAGTTTTTCACATAAGTTCAATTTTGTTTAGAATTTTAGTTTTTTCACGACTTCTCCTTGACATTTCGTTTTTTTTTCTTTTTCTTTTCCTATTATCGCTATATTTATGCATTTATTATCCATCTCTATGCATTTTTTTATTGTTTATTATAATTTTTACTCTTTTTTTGTGTGAATATAGTAGAATATTTATAAAAAAAAATTGTCAGATTTTACTACTTAGAAGACCCAAAACATAATAAAGATTTGTTTGATTATATAGCTACATCTAGTTACCTATAATATGGACACATTTAGTTTTATGGTGGATTTGATTTTTTGTATTTCTCGGTACATTTGGAATGTAAATGTACCAAAATGGGTTATCTGAAGAGACATTAGGTTTTGTGGTACATTTGGGATTTTTTGTTCATTTGGTCTTTTGGAATCTAAACGTACCAAAAGGGTTACCTGACAATGGGCACATTTGGTTTTATGGTACATTTGAAATTTTGGTAAATTTGGTTTCTTTGTACATTTAAAATCTAAACGTACCAAAAGGGTTACATAACAATGGGTACATTTGGTTTTATGGTACATTTGAATTTTTGATACATTTGGTTTTTCGGTACATTTGAAATCTAAACGTACCAAAAGTCGATACTTTTATTCTCAAATGTACCATAAGTTTTAAGTATATTTTTTTATATATCTATACGTAAAAACATATGTATTGAAAACGTTTTATTGAGACATGTTTAATAGAAAGAGAATTTTTTTTTAAATACTGATAATAAGGAAATGAGGAATTAGTTAATTAATTTTTTATTTTATTTTATTAAAAAATGTCATTTAATGTGTAGAAGGGTAATTGACGAAATTAAATTCCTATATTATAGGCAATTAGTTGCTAAGCTACCTTATTCCTTTATATAAATGCATTTAAATTAATGATATGCAAATTAAATAAATAGAAAATTATTTAGGTGGCAATTGATCAAAGCACCTTAATCAAATCTTTAAAAGAGATGAATGTGTAATCTAACAACTATAGAAAAAATGTACGGCATTCTAATTTTCCCTAATATTAGGGCATATATACATGTAATGAACAATAAATAAACATCTTGCTAAATATGTATTAAATAGAACCTTTGATCTTTAACAAACCAACAGGATCCTCTTCGGATTCTTTTGGTGAGGATCATGGAAATCCGTGAATCATGTTCGTTTATCATATATTGTGCAATCAATTTTTATCAAGTACTGTTTATGTTTATTTTTAAATAAAAAATTTAAAATAATTTCTGACTGCACGATTTCCGATAAACTAACACGATTCACGAATTTCCAGATCCGCACAAAAAAGATCTGGCGAAAATCCGGACTCTTCAACAAATAGAAATAAAAGGGATATGGCATCAATTTCCCTAGCTAGCTATCTAATTAAACAAACCATACCTTGTCCGGTTTAGTTTTATTTTTTGGATAACCTCATTGTCATTGCCACATGGGATCGTACCAACGCTGATGTATACAATCTAACAGTCAAGTAAGAGAAATTTTAAGATCTGGCATCTAGAGTCCTAGACCACATGTTTGTGCGCATTCTAGACACACAAAAAATGAACAAGGGTCGTCTCCCCTCGACTTCCGGTATCTTTTTCGTGCCCTCCTGTTTTATATGGTCACAGTTAAACCACGTCAATATTTTATATTATTTTTTTTATAGATATAATAAGACAAAAATGAATAGTATTATAAAATGTTGACGTGGCTTAACCGTGACCACACAAACAGAAGGGCACGAAAAGGGCACCGAAAGTGGAAGGCAGGCAATCATTGTCCACAAAAAATTCCCTCGCCCCCACCCTTATTATTATTATTTTTTTATGTTCAACCGGTCTCATTCATGTCTCACACAGTCACACCCTTGTGATCAATGTATAAAATATCGATGATATCAGAAGTATCGGTAATCCAAAAACGGGAAATTTCGATAGAAATATGGGGATATTATTGATATCGATCAAAATTGAATAAAAACCACGGAAATTGTAAGAAAAACTTGAAAAATTTTCTTGAAACCTTGCAGGATGTTTATTTAGTCAATTATCTATTAGTTTATCACAAAAAATTGGAAAGAAATGCATTGCATGATAGATATAACTGATTTAAGTTGATTATATAGCGAGCTGGCAAACATTGTGAGTGTAGAAAATATGTAGTATTAATGAAAGAAGTTTAAACACACCATGATCATTTATATATAATGAATTAGTACAATATTTACACTTTATACATTGCATGGTAAGATACATGAGTGACTTCGCAAGGTCTAAAATATCGATGATATCGGAAATATCGGTAGTCCAAAAAAATATTGGTAGTCTAAAAACACCGAAATTTCAATGAAAATATCGGGATATTATGGATATTTTAGACCATGCTTGTAACACAACGCCCATAGCCCACCTCCTCTTACACAACATCTTCTCGTCAAGTAGATATTTTGAATATTATGCCCACGTGCTGGAACCACAGGCCAACACGCAAGCTCCAATTGAAATTTCAGTCCATGCCCCTAACGGAACCCAAATATATCACGTTTTAATTACAAAAATGCCACAGCATTAGTCTGTCTAATTCTATAGTAACATAAGAGTAAAAGTAATACTAGGAAGACTAAATTTGAAGATAAATTTACAACCTAAATAATGTATCATTAATATAATTAAATATGTTTATCAAAGCTTAAGAAATAATTTAATCATCAACTTTCATGTCATTTACTTTACAAAATTTTGTCTACAAATTTAGTCTCTCTAACATTACTCATAAGAAACATCCACTTATTTACAAATATGCCATTAACTCACTAAAGCGGAAAGACAGGTACCAAAAAAATTAAAATTATTTTGCTTTTTATAATAACCCATTCCCTTAATTATTAACATTTTTAATTGGGCACTTAAAAAATACAAAAACAAGCATCATTGTCGCTGCTCCCTACTATACGAAAACATCCTAATCCAACAACATGAATAAAATACAAAATTTGAAGAATCTGATAATTTAACAACAAAACGAAAAATCCAATCATATCCAACATAGATTCCCATCCTTTGCTAAGGCCCCATTTTTGTACGCAAGGGCGGCGAGATCGGCACATATACCACACAACCAAAGACACGCAGATGCGATATGTCGGGTTCGCATCCGATGACCAACTGAAGGGCACTAAATGGTTGTGTCGCAACAGGCCTCAGGCGGACCAACTTTGCTGCGTGCAATATTGCATGGCCCCAAGCAGCGATAGGGAGCTTGGTACGTATGACCAACGATCAAGCAATCATTTGTAAGCGCTTAATGAAAGCCTTTGCCAGGCCGTTCTAGGTGTGAACATGAGGTACAAGATGTTCAACTTCAACCCCAACCGACATGCAATAGTCATCAAAAGTTTTAGATGTGAATTCTCCAACATTATCCAATTGAATAGATTTGATCGGATAATCAAGGTGGTGAGCCTTGAGCTTGATAACCTGAGCCAACAATTTGGAGAATGCAGCGTTCCTTGTGGACAACAAGCACACGTGTGACCAACGTGTGGAAGCGTTAACCAAAACCATAAAATATCAAAATGGTCCGCATGGAGGTTGAATCGGTCTACAAATGTCTCCCTGAATCCGTTGTAGAAAAATGGGAGGATTCGAACGAATCTTGTCATAAGGAGGCTTAGTAATAAGATTTCCCATAGAACATGTTTCACATGCGATTTCATGGATCGAACCTAAGCTTCGGGTTAGTGGATGCCCGTGTGAAGATTTGAGGATACGGCGCATTGCTATTCGTCCAGGATGTCCCAAACGATCATGTCAAAGTGTAATTTCGTGTGCGGTCCCTATGGTAGGGCCGGCCACATAGTGGCATTCTATGAGGCGTATGGTCGTAGTATACAGACCACTCGGGATACGCTCCATCTTCTCAAGAATACGCTTCTGGCCATATTCTTAGGAAGTTATGCACAGAAATTCAACTTCGTTTTCTACGTGGGTTTCAGCATGGTAATTGTTATCTCTAATGTCCTTGAAATTGAGTAACGTTCTTCCGGAATGTGGAGAATAGAGTGCCTCAGCAATGGTCAAGATTGTACCATTGGACAACATTATACGTGTCTTACCGTATCCTTCTATCAGGTTGGATGGGCTTGAGAGGGTTGTCAGAGGTGCATTCTTAGGTATGAAGTTAGTGAAATAGATGCGTTCAAGCAAAACAGTGTGCGTGGTTGCACTATCTGCCAGACAACTAACTTTCCCACTAGTCATACCTAGAATGAAAAATTAATTTGAATCAGTCAAATGCATAAAAGTTTATAAAAACAAAATATCAATTCAAAATAATTTCATTTATTCAAGGATTAAAACTTAATATCCAAAACAAATTGCCAACGAATAATCCAAAACATAAAGGAAAATTGTTCAAAATCAACCAAAAAAACAAGGGGGGTTCGGCCACTAGGTGGAATTCGGCCCCAATGGTCTTATTTTAACTAAGAAAT